CGCCTGTCTGAGTCCCTCCTCTGCGAGAAATCTATGCATGGAGAATACGGTGGACAAAACCTACTCTTCCGTCTATGGGTGCCATCCGGTAAGTTTGCGGGACCGATGTCGAAGCGACCCTTCTGCTTCTGCTTCTTCACCGCTGACTTTGCGTCTCCTTCATGCGGTCGTTTGACTGCCATATCGAAGGCTATGGTTGTGTTGAGGAAGTTTTGAGGCACGGTATGGAGATTGTCGCAAGAACGCGAGCCGACTTTCTCAGCCTTGGCAAAGTGGGGCGCGATCTAGAGCCAGTCACATGGCCTTCACCACCGCGGCGGTCCTGAACTCACGCCTCAGCTTTGTGCACCATCGCAACTATGCACCAGGAAAGACGCATCCCGCGGGGACGTGCAGGAACACCCGGATGAGCAGTGTGTTCTTTTTCGTCGTGTGACATGCTGCGTCGGCCAATACCGGTCCGGCGGCATGGGCGACTTTATCAGCAGCGATTAGGAACTTTCCGTCTTGCAACAAAGATCACAGCGCGTCATCTGTCCCGGTCCCTGCGTCTCTCCTCTCCGCACCTTCAACTGGGGCGCTCCACGCTGTTTCGTCCTAAAACTGGGCAGTATGACTGTACAATGAAGCGCCCACTGGAGCCAGCGCACCCCGTTTAAACTGGAAACTCTTACTCATATCATTCGCCGGGCCAGCAGGTGCTCCAACCGCTTGACCTGACGTCTCCGCCATCCTTACGGCCTGCCATCTCAGTGCTCCACGTCTGTTGCGCTCGCAAACCCGCCACTATTCTCTGATACTTTGTCAAATCTTTGTACTCATGCTGTCTATCGCAACAATCTGTTACAACCATGCCCATCTTCCATGATCCCCATGACAGTCCGCCAACATCGTCATTCTTGCCTCAGGCCTTGGCCACCGGCTTTGAAATACCGCATACTCCGGGATTTGCTGTAGAAAGGAACATGGAACCCGACATGCAGCCAGAATCGCCGAAAGTCGACACGCTACAGGCTATGGATCCTGGGTCGCCCAGCCAAATGCGCAAGCCGTCCATGTTCGGACGGAAGGACTGGATGGAAAGGATCAAACGAACGAACAGTCCATCGTGGTTGCAGCGGCAAGGTGTGAGTAGCCGGGGAACTAGGAAACGTCCGCCATGGTGCTTGATAATCAATGTAAGGAATACTGATCATGTATCACAGGGCGATTCCGTAACTGAGCGCGACTCCTCAACCCGACCGACATCGCAAGACCGACCGACTACACCTCAATCTTCATCCGCCGAGCTACAAACCTCCCGAATCTCCACCCCGGAACATCTCCGTGACCCTGCAGCGGTAGGTCTGGATATCGAGCGTCCGCGATCGGCATTACACTCTGGAGATTTTAGAGAGAAGAGAGCGGGCACGGCCTCGGAGAATGACTCCTCATCTTCAGGCTTCCTAGCGACTTCCCCGGTGGTGCCTTGGAATCGCTCGTTCCCGTCTGCAGCTTATACTTCGAACCGCAACGACGTCTCGTACCCGGTACCACATCACCCAGATGCCCGAATACCTGCGCGAGCGCGAGCGATATCGCAGTCATCACAGTCACCGTTTAGTTCATTTGCTTTTCTACCGCCCACAAGCCCGCTTGTCCAGCAAGCAAACAACACAGACTTGGACTTTTCCTCTAGGCCAGGCTCGCGGCAAGGGTCTCGAAGTCCCGACAGAAATAGTCGCCGGCATACCTACTCACCTGCATCCTTTCATGATTACCAGTCCACCCAAATGGCGCGATCCGCCACTGGAACTCCGGCAGCTCGACACATTCGCCACAGTGGTTCAATGCCATACCAGGCGCACCAACCGCGACGATCAATGACGTTCAATCAGTCTGAGCCTCAATCTCAGTCGCAAACACCGTTCCTACACGCTCGGCGCCCATCCTTTTCCTCGGAAGCATCTCCGCTGCAACACGCCCCCATGGTCGGTTCATATGAGGAGTCTATACTTCGCGGGCGTATGTCTACTACGCCTTCGCGGCCTCTTGATTTCGTCGCCAAGATTGGTGTACTCGGCAAAGGGCAATGCAAGTCAAGTCTGAAGTGTCCACCCCACGTCACAGTCCCTTTTCCAGCCGTATTCTACAGCTACAACACCGGTAACGGTAGGATCTCAGATAATGAGCCGAGCCCTTACGTTGGGCACATTGACTTGGAAAATACTTTGCCACCACCAGATGAAAGCAGCGAAGCTAGTAAACGTAAGCGACGACATGTGGTGCCAGCCCCCGAACAAGACGATCTTGACTTCAAGCTTAATCTTGGTGAAGAGGAGAGTGGACAGAGCGTGAAAGGAGACCTTCGTCGTAAAGAAAAGAAAAAGCGACGATCTACGTCTCCCAAGGCACCTCCGGGGGGATGTTACCGGATACCGCCGCAGGGGCAGCTACAGATTGTGCTGAAGAACCCAAACAAAACCGCAGTGAAGCTCTTCCTCGTGCCATATGACATATCGGATATGGAGGCAGGTCAGAAGACCTTTATCAGACAGCGCAGCTACTCTGCTGGACCCATTATCGACATGCCTGCATCTTCACGGAAGAACCTCGGAACTGACCGCCCAGAGGCTGCCCTCAGCAACTCGGACGATCCGAACGACCGACCTATCTTGCGTTACCTCATACACTTGCACATATGCTGTCCTTCAAAGGGTCGGCATTACTTGTACAAAAGCATACGGGTCGTTTTTGCGAATCGTGTACCAGATGGTAAAGAAAAGCTAAGGAATGAAATCCAGCAACCTGAGCCTAGATACAGCACGTACAAGCCGACACGAGATGCATCATCGCTGCAAAAGACGCATCTACCGGGAGCTCAACCCGCTACGGACAAGGCTTTCCGTCGACGCAGCGCTGGATGGCCACTATCTCAATCTCAACAGGCGTACGATCAGCTCGATGGATTGAGGCAGCACACACCATTACCTCCTCCAGCCGTCAAGTTCACTGGTGGCACCACCAACTCCTCAGCATCAAGCGGCTTCAACTCGCCTATGCCGGAATTACAGCCCATACCTTTCACCATCGGTAGGCTCGCTGCAATCGAGTCACGGCCTATGTCTCGCGATCGCATGGACATTGATCCGAAGAGCCCCTTCAGAACACCCGTTACTTCGCCGCGAGCTGGCGTGAGTAGTCCGAAAAGTCAAAGCGATGGTACTTTTGAGAAGCTCAGTAAAGGCGACATTGGTTACGGCGGAAATGCGTTCTCGCCGCTCGGTAGCCCGTCCGCTCCGCCCAATGCCGGTCTATTATCACAGCGGTTGCGCGGCTTGGATGTTCAGCGCGACGAGGAGGAGTAAGCACTCTTCATCTACAGGAGTTCGGACAATCCCTATTGATCTGTTTTGTGTTGAATACCCCAATATCTGTTGTTCTTTTCCTGGCGTTATATACTGGCCCTATTGGATATGGCCCATGAATTATAGCGTCTCCCTTGTAAAATATGCTAGATACTACAAATCATACGAATACATGAATCTAGCCTGCTTCCGGAACCGTGCAGCCGAGGCGTGCGATGACGCCTGCCTAACTTGTTGCGCAGGGCTTAGCGTGGTTGCGCTCAAAGGTTCGCGAAGAGTGACGTCGGCGATAATCTGGCTAGAGCCGAGCTCTCGTCGGCGACTTGAACACTGAGTATTTATCTATCCGAACAACATCTTCGAGACTCTAGAGACGATAGTCGCCTTCTTAGTTCTTTCTGAATCGCAATACAATATCATCGCGACGCCAGTATCAACCATGGCCTCCAAGCGCGCAGCCCAACTGCTCGGCGTCCGTTCCAATGCCTCCGTCATCGGCCGCCAGCCTACACGATTGAGCTTCAACACCGCACGCGCTTTCAGCATCGCACCCAAGTCACAGAACACATATGTCTCGCAGAGCAGGAGATTGATTGTAGGAGGTGCTGCGAGACTACAAGCGTCACCAGCGCAAAAGAGATGGCATTCACAGGCCCCCAACGACTTGAAGCTGAACAAACTCTACCAATTCGACGACGTACGTCTTATCGTTCCTTTCTAACAACCCCTTAGTTCATTCACTATCTGTTCCTCGAGCCATCACGGACTTCCCCAAGCGCATCGCTAACTCATACAGGTTCTACACATCCTCGAAGCGCCCTCAGACTCACGTCTCCTCATCGACGTCCGCGAACCCCATGAATTCGACGCAAACACTATTCCCACCTCTATCAACATTCCCGTCACCTCACAACCCGATGCGCTACTACTAGACGAAGAGGAGTTCGAGGATAGGTTTGGTTTCCAGAAGCCACCCAAGGGAAAGGAAGTCGTCTTCTTTTGCAAGGCCGGAGTGAGGAGTTCAGCCGCTGCAGGAATCGCGAGACAAGCTGGGTAAGTCGGATCCTTCATTGGCACACGTCTAGGATTCGATAAGCGGGCAAAAGACACTTGCTGGAGAACATGAGCTAACCCGCACGGCAGATACACAAACATTGGCGAATACCGCGGCTCATGGCTCGACTGGCAGAAGCGCGGCGGACCGGGCACAAAATCACCACCGAAACCTGATGGCATGGGCGAACCCAAGGCCCCTACCACCGAGACGAAGCCTACAGCTAGGACGGGCGACAGCGGAGAAGAGGACCTCGGGCCTCAGGGACAGCCAAAGTACCCGCCAGGAGGAATTATGGGCCAGCAGTAGATCTGCGATGTTAAGTTCGCAAATGGGGGATGGCCTGCTCATAAACGATACATGGAGGGCGTACATAACAAGATGAGATTAAGATATGATCAATTCGGAACCGATATTGCGTTACTTCCAAGAACACTTAGAAGGGCAATAACACATTTCCATGCGATCGGAGTATAGTATCTAAAGAGGGTGATTGCAGCCAGCTACTCAAAATTACAAGTGTACCAAGAATGAGAAGATACTATTAAAAGAAGGTATTCCGCGAACGTAACGAATGCTGAAGTTAGTATCGTCCAGTACTACCGGTCCAAAGCTTGAGCCTGGCACTGTTTGAAAGTTAGCACATCTTAATTCGGAAAAGTAGATCAGATTCAAACTTACCATCTGCCAGTAAACACCCCGTTTCCTCAACAGCCCCTGGTGATCACCCCTCTCCAACACCATGCCACTACCCAGAACAAAGATGACGTCCGCCTTCTGAATCGTAGCAAGTCGATGCGCGACTGCAATCACAGTTCTTCCGCCCTCGCCAGCAGCACGCTCAATAGCATCCTGCACCAACTTCTCAGATTCAGAATCGAGAGACGACGTCGCCTCGTCCAGTAAGAGCAGTTTTGGTTTCCGCAGTAAGGCGCGAGCAAGACTGAGACGTTGTTTCTGACCACCAGACAGCGACATGCCCTTCGGTCCCAGGCGCTGGGCATATCCGTCGGGCAGGGATGTGATGAAGTCGTGGATCTGGGCGTCACGACATGCTTGTTCGATGTCTTCATCCGTGGCGGTGTCGACGGATAAAGCGGCGTTTTCGCGTATCGTGCCTTCGTACAGCGTGGGCTCTTGGCTGACGAGACTGATCTGCTTGCGGTACTCTGCGGGATCAAGAGTCGTGATGTCTTGTCCGTTGTAGAGAATGCGGCCGGATGTTGCGTCGTAGAAGCGCTCGAGGAGGGATATCGTGGTAGATTTGCCGCAGCCGGAAGCACCGACCAGTGCGGCGAACTGGCCTGGCTTAACTTGGATGTCGAGGTTGGATAGAACGGGCGCTTCGCGGGTTTTGTAGGCGAAAGACACATTCTGGAACTCGATGCCAACGCCTTCTTCTGGTTTGTTCAAAGGCGGGTATGTGGCTGTTGTAGTGGTCTTTGTTGGACGCATACTGAGAATGCGGTTTGCGGCGCCGGTCGCTTGGGCCATATTGGGGGCATACGAGAAGAACTGTCCTGCTGCAATGGCGCCTTGCACAATAGCTTGGTAGATGACGAAAAAGTTGACAGGGCTGTACTCGCGGGAAGCCAGGAGAGTACCACCGTACCAGAAGGTAAGAGCCATGCAAGCCAATTCGATGCTGTCACTTGCCGCAAAAACAAGAGTGCCATACTTGGCGCTTGAAAAGGCTTTTGTGACGTGACCCTTCAGCAAGGTCTCGTAGCGCTGACCGATCATATCTTCCATGATAAGACTCGACACTGTGCGGAAAGCACCGACAGCTTCTGAAGCAAACTGGCTGCTGTCCTCAAAAACCTTTGCGTTGGTCTTTTCAAACTCGAGTTCGAGGCGCACACGTAGATATCCAGCAGCCAAGATGAGTGGTAGCGCGGAAAACAGGGCAACAAGCGACAGTTTCCATCCGTAGATGAAAGAGATGATTACGGAGCCCACTACGTTGACTATAGCAACGAGCGCAATGGACATCTCCGTTGCCATCAGCTGCTGGATCTGTGTCGAGTCTGAGCTCAGCGTTGATGTTAGAGATCCTGGGCTATGTCCTTGATCGTCGAAGAAGGCAATGCGTTTGCGGATGAGGTTGTCCAGGTATTCTTGGCGATAGGTCCTTGTTACGGCGACAGAGATGAGGTGACAGGCCAAGCCCATAAAAAAGTAGGATAGAAAGGTACTCGCAGCTAGAACACCGAACATGCCTGCCCAGAAGTTACCTTGGCTGACGAGTTCGTTCATGGGAAGGGTGAAAACATTGACGACATGTGCGAAAATGTAGGCCTGGAGTGGGAAGACGACACCGGTAGCCAGTATACCCACAATAGCGACACTGTATAAGATCCAATGTCCCCGTTGTTCGTAGAGAAGACGCCCGAAGCTGCCAAAGAGACCCTGCTGTTTGTACTCTGGATCTTCGGCTACTTTGGAGACACCGGTGCTCTGCTTGTAGTCTTCGACTATTGCAGTGTCTGCGCTCTTCACCTTTTCGAGCGGGCTAGCATCAGCGTCCTGTTCCGCTTCCGCTGCGATCTCTTGGGCATGGACCAAGTTGTAGTAGACACCAGCTTCTAGCTTCAACAGCTCATCATGAGTACCTTGTTCCACGAGAGCGCCTTGACGTAAGACTACGATCTTGTCCGCACGCCTGATGGTAGAAAGACGGTGCGCGATGACGATAGTCGTCCGATTCTTCGATACGCGATCGAGAGCCTGTTGAACAATGCGTTCGGTGCGTACATCGATAGCACTCGTAGCCTCGTCGAGAATCAATATAGGTGGTTGTTTGATGATGCTCCGCGCGATCGCAACTCGTTGTCGCTGTCCACCGGAAAGCTTGATACCACTCTCGCCTACCAGAGTCTCGTAACCTTCAGGAAGTTTGGCGATGAACTCTTCGGCATAGGCTTCGCGACATGCCTCATCGATCATTGTCTTCTTCTCTTCTTTGGGCAAGTCTTCGTACTGAGTACCAATAAGACCGAACGCAATGTTGTTGTACAGGGTGTCGTTGAACAGGAAGGGCTCTTGCTGTACTAGACCAATCTGAGAGCGCCACCATTTTAAGTCGACATCTCGTAGGTTGGTATCTCCGATCCGAATAGCACCAGTGCAAGTGTTCGGGCCCAGATCAGGCTCCTCGTCCTTGCTCTTGCCATCTCCAGCTTTCTCTGCAGATGCTTGTTTGTCTCCGTCCTTCGGCACAGCTTTCTTCTTGAACCATCGAGACTTTTGTGGGCTGTCCTTCTCGTTGTCAAGCGCGTCCTCGTGAGGCGATGGGTCGGCCGCGTGATCGTCAGAGGTGGCCGTAGCTATTGTGCCCGAGAGCTCGTACCATCTCTGCAACAACCCCACGATAGTAGACTTTCCTAAAAGTTGAGGCAAGTGGTTAGTAACTAGCACATGAATTGCAGAGTAGAAACTGCTTACCACTCCCAGACGGACCAACAATAGCGGTAACTTTGCCTGCCTCAAACTCGAGGTCAAGACCTCCAAGGATCGGAACATTTGGTCGACTTGGGTATGAGAAGGCGACGTTCTGAAAGCTGATGTTTGCGTTGGCGGTAACATCCGGCTCTTTCAATCCAGTGGTATCGGGAACGGCTGCATCGATCGTGATGAATAATTCGGTAGCGGCAGAAGATGCCTTCGCAATGGCCATGATCGGGGCCACAACCCTACCGACGTTCGTTATTGCCATCATGACAGAGAATAGAACCACCACTATCGTTCCAACGTCGATGTTCCTGCCTTCCGAGTACTGTTTGATGCCGAACCAAAACGCAATCGCAAAGGTGCCATACTGTCCAATCATCATGGGTGACATCACGAGACCCATGAGAGGTGCAGCTCTGGCCTCGTTAGTCGCAGCTTTGTCCAACAAGGCCTCGTGCAACCTCGCCAATTTCGCCTCTGCACCAAATGCGGCGACAATGCGAATAGATGAGAACATCTCAAAAGCCATAGCAGAAGCATCTTCATGATGCTTCTCGGTAACTTTGTGGATTCGGATGAAAGGTGGTACTATGATACCAAACACGACGAGGATGAACGGAAGCGAAGCAGATGCGACTACAGTAAGCAGTGGGCCTTTGATGAAAGCCACCACATACGCTCCGATCACGAACGCAAGAACCTGGAAGAGCATGGCAATGTGCTGTGATATTGCGAGTTGGACCGTGTTGGAAGAGGTGGTAATTCGCGTGGACACCTTGCCGGGACTTATCGTGTCTATGACACTGATTGGCTGTGCGAACAAGGCTCGTAGATATGCTTGACGCAATGCAGCAGAGATCCTCAGGCCGCTGATTCGGATGGTAAGCTATACCAGCATTAGTATAATGGTAGCCTCTTCATGGCATGCGTGCATACCATTGATATATAAGACAACACAAACTTCGCGATGAAGAGGTAGACAAGAAACAGGGTAAGCCTGTTGATTTCGGCTTGAAACTCCCCGGCTGTCATGGTCGTTCCCGGGATGAAGTAATTGGTGAAAGATCCGACTAATTGACCTGGCTGCTGTCAGTATTCGGGGAGGATGCCAACGGATTCTGGAGTATCAGGTCATACCGAAGACGACGTTCATCAGAGGAAACGTAACGCCGGAGGCTATCGAGGTAACACAGCACATGAAAATGAGCCAGTAATCGAGAGTAGTTCCATGGGAGAAGACTCGCTGATCGTTTGTCAGCCAAGAGTAACATCCAAGGCGATTTACTCACGAAGTAATTCTTCATGCCCGCTTCAGGCACTTTCTTGGCTTGCGATGAAATACTTTCATCTTGCTCTGCATGTTCAATGACGCCGTTCTTTTCATCAGATCCTGTCTCTAAAACTTGAGCGGCGATCGCAGCGCTCTCCACCTCAACATCGATTGTTGGCCGAGGTGGCGATTGACCGTCAGTGACCTTGGAGTCCATGGCTGTGCGATGCAAAGGAGCGTAAGAAAGCAACAAAGTACGGCTTCGAGATAAATGGTTATTCGACGATAGAAGAGGCGATCATCTTAACCGAAGGACGAAAGTTGATGCCTGGTGATGTGAATGCCGTATAGATCGTATTCTTGTGTACACCGGACCAAGCCGTATCCGCGTTCCGATTTGACACGCACACCGTCAAAAGTCGGAGTGAGAGTGTAGCTTATAACAAGCTTATAACAATCGCTTGCACCGGGGCCAATGTTCGTCGCGCGCCAAGTGCTGTACGAAGTACGAAACTCAGCCAGGGAAGGCGCTAACCGCGCGACATCTCGCTTCACCATCATCCTTCCCAATCGAGCGACTTCCTGCGAGACGCATGGGTCAACGCGCGTCTGTTGTGACTCGACGTCTGGACCCAAGGCCAGTGCGAATAAGTCATGTCGGCTGCTGGGCACAGCCATGCAAATGCTCTTCGCAACAATAATTGATCGAGCGCGCAAACGTTGAAGTTTCCTAGAATGTTGGTGTTGTCCAGGTTCTCCTGGGTGAGAGAGTGAGTGAACGGACGTCGGTGCCTGAAAGTCCGACCCCACCCATCGACCGGCACTCATCAACCTTGGAAGCCTCTACCTTCCGCACAACCATTGCCCGTTCACAGACAAGCCTGTAGACTTCCCCTGAACTTTTTAGGATGACAGCAGACGCACTCATCGCAATTGCAGGCGACCGGGATGCTCATCGATCTGCTTTTCTGGCGGCCTCGTAGCTGGCATTGATACCTACCTACCTAGGTAGGTATTTATCACCCATCGTGCACGTGATTTTGCGAGCGGACCAGTCAGAATGCGCGAGCATACCGAATTCGGAAATAACCATGGCCAAGACATGTGCTAAGGATGGCTGCAAGGATGACAGGGTGACGAAACGTTGCTGCCTAAGGTCAGGGAGCCCCAGGAAGGTACGATATCCTGAGCTTGGAAGTGCGCTCACGAACGTGACTGCACATGCTTATCGAGCAATTCCTGGGGTTAGTAGAAACTTTGAACAAGCAGACTGATCCGTAGTGCAAGTTCAGACATCGTAGATAGGAAGACGAGCAGATGCGATCTTAAGCCACAGCATGGCTGTAAAAATGCTGGGTGGGTACGTGGAAGGTGGATACGCGGAGCATCATTGCCAGATCGTGAAATTCCCCGCTGGGTGTGTGAAGGAGGCTTTTGAGACGGGGTATGGTAGTAGACTGGAGAGCTTGGACATGCATATTCAATGTGTTCATGGGGAATTCTTCGGTAGGCTTGATCCAGGGGAGGGTTTTTGCTTACAGACGCCTTGATAAAGCCAGGGGAAGTGGTACTCAAGATGATAATAATGAATTAAGTGTACCATACCTACTGACCCCCAATGCTATCCTGCCGACTCCGCACACTCCTCCCACACTCCATCGCCCTCAAAGCCTCAACATCAGACCTCCGCCTCGCACCCTCCTTCCTCTTCTCCAGCCTAACGAGACTCTCAAGCAGCCGTTTCATAAGCCACTCGCTCTCACTAATACCAGACACCATGGGACTATCGTCTCCGATCCAATCCCAATTCACCAATCCCTCTTCGTTCTCATCTTCGGAAACCATGTTATCGTTGTCTACATTGCGGTCCAGACGCTCTGGACTTGTCAGGCGGATGAGCCGTGTAAATTCGACCCATTCTTCGTATGTGTAGCGCTTGTCGTCGGTCTTGAGGTCGAGAGATACTTTTTGGATAGAAAGGGCGAGGCGGCGGGTCAGCGAAGCCTGGGAGGGAGGGCTAGTGATGTCGGCTTCGGCTTCGGCGGCGAGGGCTGGGACGGTGGGGTGGAGAGTCAGTTCTATATCGGTTGCTGCTTCGCGATCTTCCGGGTCGTTAAAATTACTCTCTCTGTCTTGCGGGTCTGAAGGATCTACGATGCCATCGTCAGATCGTGGATCGGAGATGTCGAAACCCCTTGTCAATCGCTTCTTTCTAGCTCGCTGATCTGTCCATCGCTGTAGCCATCGCAGCAGCCAAGGGTGCTTGTCGAGAAAAGAACGCCAGATACCTGCCTTGGGCAGTACCGTGAAGTCCGCAAGCTCGTCACTCCATTTCTTGAAGTTGGCAACGACAGTGTCGCCTAGGTCTGAGACCAGGATTGTCATGGTCGGGACGGCGATCAAGCTCCAAATGACGAAGAAACAACGCCCGGAGTTGGACCTTGGTGCCAGATCACCGTAGCCGATTGTTAGTAGACTAACATAACAGAAGTAAAGCGATTGGAAGTACGTTAAGTGCTGTGTTTCTTGTTCGGTGATCCAGAAGACAACTGCGCCCACACACCAAAGGATCGAGAAAGTAGTGATGGACCAGAAGAGCGCCATCCACTGCTTGAACTTCTTCGAGTCGGCTTGGATCTTGCGCATAGCTTCGAAGCGATCTTTCTCTTCTTTCAACAACATGATCTTGGGCTTAGAGGATCCGATATGTAGGGCATCAGCGACACCCTGCATAGTAGATGTGTGCTGAACTGACTCGCCCATGGGCGTTCTGAAGGGCCGTGGTTGACTAGGTCCTGATATCTTTGGAATGCCAAGTTTGCGTTTCCGAACCAGATGGTGGGCTTCTCGTTCCCGGTGACGGAGGTCAAACGAGTTAGTAACTGTACGTTCTGCGACGCGCTCGCGCATGCGATCGACATGCTTCTGAACAATCTTCTCGTCGCCGAGCTCGCGAACTGCCGTGTAAAGCGAGGAGACGATGAGCGCTAGCGTAATCGTTCCGCCTACAGAGTACGGGAAGACAATACCCCTAGTAACATCGGTCGTAGGCACTAGGTCGCCAAATCCAACGGTTAGGATAGTAACGTCGCAAAAGTACAAGGCATCGGCAAACCTCCAACTATCTTCTCCAGCATCTTGCTCGAGTTTCGCAAAGACAGCGGCGCCACTGCCCAACCAGATGAAAAAGGCCATGGTCTGTAAGATAAGTGTCCTTTGACTGTCGCTCAAAGCGAAATTTTCGGGGTAGTGGCCAAGAAAGAAGCCCAGCATGTTGACCATGAGAAGCATAGAACAGATGGTGTAAAACGCCGCAGCCGCAATCGCGTACCAAAAGCCTTGTGTGTATCCTTGTTCCGGACGGATGGGTGGTTCGTAAGTGTTCATGCATATCGTTATCGCTATGAGGAAAACAGATGAAAGATACCACAAAACCACAGTGACGGGTAGGGCGATTATGTAACGGATCCTTTGCGTAAAGTTCAGGAGAAGGAAAAGATTGCCGAGGAAGCCGCAGATCAGTGATGCTACGTTGATCCAGTAGCACCATCTCGGGTCGCCGAAAGGTACGCCTTTGAAGTCCGAGATTCGTTCGCCGTTGATGATGTTTTGCTGTCTCCAGGGAGTTACGAGTGCGGCTATTGAGCTCACATTGGCTAGTGGGCCGAGAGTTGCGGCGAGTAGCTGGATCAATGTTAGCATCTGATCCATCGAGTAGCTTCGGGATCTGAGAGCCGTCTCAACCTCTCACGCCAACCCAGGAAAAGACTAAACACCCTGGAGCCAACGTTGACGTTGAGCCACCCACTTTGCAAGTCTTGTCTTAATGTAGTCCGCAGGCCTGTTTAGTTTTTCTCTTGTATAAGGTGCTCTTGTAACGACCCAGTGCTCGTCATCACTTACGGGTATCCCAGTGCTCGCGAACCACCAATCGCTATCCTGTCCCTCCCATTTCTTCCAGACATTGCACCATCTCTCCTTCTTACTGTCTTTCCGTGTCAACTGCTCTTTTCTTTGCTCTTCTTCGTCCTGGGCGTCATATCGTTCCGACGTGCTCGGCTGCCCCGGTTCTTCATGTTCACGCGCCATTATCGGAGCGATCCGGCATCAGACATCGTAACCCCAGACAGTGAGATGGGCCTTCGGTAAACCCAGAAATGATAATAATAGTTCAGAACGAGAAGGATCCTCAGGCTCGTTCTCTACTGCAAAACTCGAGAAGGTGCGAAACGGCGATCAATATGTCGGGCACGGATATACGCGTGTGACTAGTTGCTGAGAAACTGGCGCTAGAGCGGAAGCGGTGGCGCTGGGAATGTGAACGCGTCTACAGTTGAGAGGAGACACGGAAGAAAATACAGAACCCGGAACTCAGAGGCCGCCTTCAACAGCGAGTTCATGGCCGCGCGTTTTAGCAGGTCTCTAGCAAGATTGCCAGATTCGATGACTCGGCTATCGCGGCGTAGTGGAGACGAATGGTGGGTGCTGGCGTCGATCAGCCGTTGACGCACGCCAAGCTGCGAATGCCGGGGTTACTTGGAGATCAAAAGGTTAATACTTCACGTGCAGTTAGAGGTTCTTTGAAAAGCACAGGATGTGCTTGTGTGCTTTATGCCGCGATTTTTGATGATCTTGAGAAAGTACCGGGATGTCTCCTGGTAGTTGACTTCGTGGCAGTTGTGTTCCTTGTTTGGTCGATATATTGTTCAAACTATATACAACAGGTATCAATGCGCTCAATGCTTATTGCGACTTGAGCTTCTCGGTCAATTCTGGGACCTTTTCGAATAGATCTCCAACAAGACCAACATCCGCGACCTGGAAGATGGGTGCCTCGGCATCTTTGTTGATGGCTGCAATGACCTTGCTGTCCTTCATACCAGCCAGATGCTGAATAGCACCAGAGATACCAGCACACAGGTATAATTGCGGCGCAACGTTCTTTCCAGTCTGGCCCACTTGCAAGCTGTTGTCGGCAAAGCCACTGTCGACTGCTGCTCTTGATGCACCGATGGCGGCACCGAGCGCGTCTGCTAGCGGTAGCATGAGCTTGTCAAACTCCTCCTTTGATTTCAGACCACGGCCTCCGGAGACGACCTTCTCTGCAGAGCCGAGATCAGGACGGTCGGACTTCTGGAGGTCCTCAGATATCCACTCTGTTGAGCATTCGGCCTTGGGGTCGACACCCTCCTCTACTGTCGCGTTTCCGCCTTCGGT